TGCGTGCCAATTTTCTCGTGTCAAAAATATGGCAATATGGGTGTCCTTTCCTACCAAAATGGGTATCCCGGACGCATTGGCGCAGTCCAATTTGTCGTCGGAGGTCATCCGGAGAAGTTCGCATTTTCGCCCGTCCTTTGGGCTTAATTGAAGTCCGATTTCGTGTAATTTCGTGAACTTTGTGTATTTTGTGTGTGTATGTGACGAAAAAATCGTGACGAATATCTTCCTAAGGCTTGAAGTTCTATTGAAAACTTTTCCTCTGAGTCTTCACAAAATAGCCCATAACCGCTCGTTCATAAGACGATAGTCTTGTGCCATAAATGTTAGACATCAAAGAAAAATAGGAAGTGGCTGGAATTTCTAAAAGGGTGGGTCTCAATTCTAGTTTTCTAAGATGGTCAATAGGAATTTCTAGAGCTAGAATCTAGGCTCTAAGGAGGAGAAGACAAGACCTCACAAAAAAATGAGGTCAACAGTGGAGCAATTAGAAGCGATGTGTCCAAACCTATGGGATCTGAAGCTTTTCCTGGCTGGGATGGTAGTGGGCATGCAGTTCTTCTTTGACTTATTCTCACTATGAGTACTTTTATTCTACTCCTAACCATTCTGCTCTACTTTTTGAGACGTGCTTCTCCTCAATTATGGGTGGCTATCTGACTTGCAGTGATTTCCTGCTATGCTTTTGTTGTCTCTCCACTTTTGGAGCTGAGGTGTACAAGTACCTCAGTGTTCATTAGAATTGAAACTGGACTACATTGCTGATGGTTGGCTTTAAGCCTCCCATGTACCTGACTATGATATGCTATTCTGTCTCGTTTGGCTCACACAAGTTGCATAAATTCTACCCTGCACTCCACTAATAGCTCTTCTGTTGCAAGTGGTGGAACTTCAAGAAAATATATTAGCGGTAGTGTGGGGGTAGCTAGTATCGCTGCATTACCTTCTTCATTTTCATCTTTTTGTATGTCTCTCCCTCTTCTAGTTCTCCTACCACAAAAAATGTATTCTTCTTCTTTTTGATGCAACGAGTTTCACTCTTCCTTAATCAGGCACATCCTTGCATTCAAATGTTTGTTCAATAGTTTGCATCCACTCAAGGAAATCATCTGAATTCGTTCTCCCCTCTATGTCCGGTAGGTCCACTTTCATTCCGATATTTTTATATCCTCCAATCGATGTAACAGTCTGTATCTTCTAACAGACACTTCATTTCTGTATCCTCTAATAAACATTTCATATTTGTATCCTCTAACGTGCATCCATCTTTGCATCCTCCAAGTGGCACCTCCTATCTATGTCTTCCAACAGACACTTTAGCTCGAGGCCTCCGCCGATACTGTACCTCAAAGCGTTATTTTTCGTCTTCTCCTCTATTGGAATCATCCTTACAGATGAGATTCAACGGTTTATCTTGCTCTCTTTCGCGGATTTCTCTATTACCGTCGACGCAAATTTTGCCCTAGGTTCTTTCCTCAATGGCATCGAGCTAATATAGCACTTGGCGGAGTACCTATTTAATGTCGTCTATAGTAGATTCTTGATTAGATTTTGGCAATCGTCCCCTTGAGGGGCGTGGTTAGGGTTTCGTGTGTGTATAGGTGGAAGGAGGTGTGTAGGGTGGAGGCAACAAGAAATTTTTGGAGGGTGGGGTGATATGGGAGGAGGCTAAAAACTCTAGGACAAGACTAGTGTTTGACTAATTCTGATACCAAATGATATCCGAGTTTGGGTGGTGCAGCAAGGAGGCAGGTGGACAACAAGGGACAACAGGTCAAACAACAGTACTTTGTTGTTTGGGCAGGACAACAACAAGTAGAGGGGTTTGGGGCAGCTGTGAGGGTTGACAGTTGGTAGGAATGGCTTGGATGGCAGGGTAACGATAATAGCAAGTGGTAGGGATGGCTGAGGTGCTGGAACGGGCAAGGACAATAACTCCTCGCTATTCAGTAGGGCAGCAACAAGCTGAAACGCTGATGACAGTGGCTAGAAGATAGGAAAACTGTAGAGAAGCAACAACAGTTGGCTGTTCGGGGGTGGCTACAACAATGAAAGACGGCTGAAAGCGACGTGGGGATGATAGGAAGGATAATCACCATCTTGCGAGTGAGATATAGCCGAAGCACCTCCCAAAACTCTTAGATATAGCCCTCGCTAATAAAAGAGATATGCTAGCTGCTGTCTCAAATAAAACTCATGAAAAATCAATGGGCCCGAGGGTCGGCCTACACTTTACTAAATTAAAAAGCTTAGACTTTATTGGTCCAGGCGAGCAGGCACCTTGCACACTTATGTGTTGGAGCCCCATGTCCTGCTCCCGAGCGGGAGACACCCGTGTCACTTCCTTGTGATGATCATGATGACAATAAATTTTATTTGGAGGAAATTATCATTAAATGGCCTCAATTTTTCAAATAAATAGCTTCAAGCAGAATTCTTGATACACCAAAATATAATATAAAACAAACATGAAACCCAAAATTCTTAAGCATTAAATTGTATGCTATAAGTTAATAGTAGTCAACCAGTTAACCCACAGTTAAACTTATCAATTTATCAAATTGAAATATTTAAACTTGATGAGAGCTCAAATATAGCTAATGTCATGCCACACTATCCATATGATCACTCTAAAACATATGTTTCTAGTAGCGATGTTGCATGTGCCTTATGATAAGTTGACTTATCTCAATCAAATCTTAGATAATCCTCAATGACGCTTTGTTTATAACTTGTGAAATATAAGGTGCATCTAACGAGGCATAGAGCTTTATGTTAACCAATATCAGCCCAAAATTGTTCGCTCTATGTTAGCTAAGGTTAGCTTAAATTTGCCTCCATGACAAAATAGCCATTATAACTCTAAACGGTCCCCTTGGATGAAAGCTAATATGATTTTTGGTAATGATAATATGTTTAGGTCAGGTCTTTGTTGACAAGTAGATTAGGGATTATGATAACTTGAAATGGCAGAATGATAGCTCTTAATTGTGTTGGTCATCATTTCTCGAATATACACATTAAACTAGTGGGGATATATTTTTTCTTTATAAAATTGTTTCACTTGGAAGTTGTCTCATGATTGAGATCAATACTTAATTATAGAGGTTGCGCTAATTAGAAACATTGAACTTAATTATAAAGCCCAAAATTATGACAAAATCTCTCTCGGTAGTGCCTTATAATATATTTAATCCGCCTTCTAAAATATTAACTTGGTACAATTCATGAATTTTTATTAAATGTGCTAAATGGGAAGCCCATAGGTGCTTATTTAGTACGAATGAATAATGAGGATTTGTAGAACTGGCCTCAAATACATAGAAAAAGGCTTATGATGATGATGATGGTGATATTGATATGAATTTGGATACTCTAGTATCCATGTAATACAGAAGATACATGCATTCAATCTCACATACACACATATCAAGCTCTTAGAAGATTGATTGTTAGCCATTGCATCTTCATGGAAAGAAAAAGGCAAACTTCTTGTGAAACTTGAGCGCCTAGATTGTTGAACAATGGTTGGATGCCCTTGCTGGTGCCTCATATTGATACCACGTGGGGTTTTTTTAATGCCGTTAAGTAATTCTGTCTGGACTTCCCTTACACATTGCTCTGTAGATATTCTAGTTGTGATATCAAATCTACTTATCGAGTTGAGTTCTATTAGCAATTTATTAATATTTCAGGAAATACAACAATTGTTTTTGGTGAGCATGAAATTTATATGACAGATTGCATCACTTAGCAAGTAATTGAAATTTTAGACAATTGCAAATATAATGTAAAACTAAAATCTTGTATTTGTAATACTTTATTAATATTTGAATGTTTGTAAAAAAAAATTAACTGTATTCCTTTTGGGTGTTTGATTGATTGCAAAGTATTTTAAATACTTGTGATAATGATTGGTGGCGATAATGTTGGCGACGGGTGATGTTGTTAGCCAGTAGTATAGATGACAACTATTGTGGTGGTGTTGGCCAATGGTAAAGGTGGTGGCTGTAGTTGACGATGGAAGAGGACTGATAATGGCTTGTGGGTAGTAATGACAAACAACAAACGATAAGGGTAGCTAAGGGAGTGGCCAGTGATGGCGGTTGCAGAGGATGATCTGTGGCGGTACTAGCATGCTTCAGACAAAAGCTGTTTTTGAAATTCGCTCAATTGATTGAATTGCAAATGCATTGAAATTGATTTAGAGAGAAATCTAAATAGATTGAAATTTTACATTGGATTCTTTTTCATGACAAATACCGAAATTTCAGAAGGCATAAATTTCATTTGCATTATACTAGGAATACTTGGAGCCAAATAGCGTTTTATTCTTGAGGCAATTTCATATAGACCACCCGAAACTAGCTATTTACAAATCAACCACCATCTTTCATCCAATTTTCAAATCCTCACTCAATTATTAAAATTCATGCTAAAACCCAAACCCATAATTTTCAATTCTATCAAATTCTCAATAGTTTGATTGTGGCACATGTAAATGCATCGGTTTGGTAGTTCAAAAAGATTACTTGGGTGGTCTGTATGTAATTATCCCTTTATTTTTATTTTTAGTCACATGATTGAGAAGCAACAAACTTACAGTTATTTACTGAAAGAATTTGCCTTTCAGAATATTTTTAATTTGTCCAGCTTTGGATTGCTATCATTACTGAGGAACTTTATACTTATAATAGCTTTGACATTGAATTCTGGTGAGAATCTATTCTGAAGGGTTGCATTGTACAAAGAATTCCCTATCCCTTGCATATAGGAAATCCTGGCCAAAGATTTTGAAAAATGTAATTTCTGGAAATGTATTCTGCTGAAGTTTATTTTTTTGATTGCTAATATTATTTTTGAGGATACATTAATTTTCTTGTATTTATTGAAACAAATATTCTAGATCTGCTAATAATTTCTTCACCTGTGCCTTTATCCCGATCACAGTTTGTTTCCTTAATTACTGATCTGTAGTCTTAAATTTTGTATCCTCTCAGGGTCTTGCCTACAATCCGAAGAAAAACACGTTATATGTTGCAGACACTGAAAACCATGCTTTGAGGTATGAAGTGCTTTTGTTGTTTGTTCTATTTGCTTATTATCCTATAGTATATCTACACAGAAGGCATGGAGGTGTTTAACATGTCTATTTACTTACACTTTAAATTATTATGGTTTTATTTTTGATTATCTCCCAGTGCAAGATATCTTGAATGGTATTAACCTCAAGTTTGGAAAAAAGTTGTTCAACGAAATAACAAATAATAGGGGCAGTGTCATGCTGCTTGACACGAAATATCTCAAAGGTATTGAAATTCAATTGAAATTCACAAAAGTTTGTTTGGGATCAATTTTATTTTGTTTTTCATTTACTATTATTATTGTTATTATTATTTTTTTTAATATTTAATTTAAATTAAGCTATGTTTGTTTGAGTTAGTTTTTTTTTTTTAAAACACTCAAAGTATGAGTGCTTTTTAAAAATAAGTTGGTTTATTTTTAAAATGAAATATAAAAATATATAAAAAATATGCCAACTAAACATATTTTAAAAAAAGAAACAAAAGTGATGCCAAATAGAACATTATCACTTATTTCATAAATTGGATTGTATTGGCATGTCTAGAATGTTACATAATAGTTAAAAATGTCATCTATTTTGCCCAGATCACTCGCAAGAAAAATTAGAAAGATTGAATGCTAATTGAAGGAACACCTGAATAAAACAATGAAGAAAAATCTATAGGAACAAAAATTATATTTTTTATTGGATTATATATAATTTTATTATACCATTTAAAAAGAAAATCAGTAAATTTCCATATATCATAAGTTTGGCACCCTATTCCTTTAACTGCTGCCACATCTAATCCTACTACAAATGCTCAGCTAAAAAATCAAGAGAGATTTACAAACACAACTCAGAATTCTTATCTAAACTTTCATATTTATATAGCACTTTGGCTTTTAAAATCTATGCATAAAGAGGTATTTTCCACTTTTAAAAAGTTATAATAGTACTATTTTTTATGTGATATTAAAAACTTGAGTACTATATATGTAAATATGAAAGTTTAGGTGTGATATATATAAATACATAAGAATTATGTGCTATGTAAATGCCCCAAAAATGAGAAGAAATTCTGATGAAAAATTTTTCCCTCGTCTCCCATTTTTTTAACACACGCACTCCATGTTTGTCTTATCTCTCGCTTCTCTTCTCCTCGGTCTCACCCTCTACTGCATGAGAGCACACTCTTAACTCTATACCCATGTCTATCCTCAATATATTTCTCAGCTATCTGAGCTCTATCTTTGGTCTCCCTCATCTTCTTTTCCATCCGTTCATACTTGCAAACCTTCACAATAAAGCAACAGGAAAAGATGAAGGGTGCTCGCTATTGAAAACATCGACAGACCTATGATAGAAGAGGTATCATTGTCAACGTGGAATTTAAACCCCACGACTTCATGTTTCTTATTCTCCATTCTGCTCAAAGTTTCTCCTTCTATGCCATCCTGCACTCCAGCTCATGCATCTCCTTCCCTAGTGACCCTTGATGACAAAAAAGTCAGAAGCAATTGGCTAGTGGGGTTAAGATTCATTAGGATTTTAAGTTATGATTTTTGCTATTAAGTATGGTAAAAGTTAAATCTTTTTTAAATCCTACTACTAAACAACTTCTTTCTTTCTTTAACTCTTTTTCTTTCATCCACTCCTTTGTAATTTCTCCATGTATTTCACTCTCACTATGCCTGTCTTTTCATTTCTACATCTCATCTTTTCTTTGCCTCTAACCCTTATTTCATTTAATTTTCTATACCAACATACCTAATAAAAAAAAAGAAAAGAAGAAAGAAAAATCGGGATTGTTTAAGAAAATAATAATAATAATAAAAAAAACAGAAATATATACAAGAACAGCAACATCTAGCTTTTATCCCATGAAGTGGAGTCGGCTACATGACTATTGTTTTCTTCATTGTGTCTCATTGAGTGTCATATTTTCATTTAAATTTAATAAATTAAGATTAATTCTTTATACAACATGTTTAAGACTTTTTAGGCCTGCCTCCACCTTTCTTTGTACATGCCTAATGTAAAACATCTACTCTTTTAATAGGGTCATCAGATGGTCGACATATATTGTTACTAAACCATCTAAGGTGACTCACTTTTATCTTGTTTGCAACTGGAGCTGCTCTAACCCTTTCATGGATATATTCGTCTCACATTTTATCTCTTAGTGTAAAACTACGCATCCACCTAGCATTCTTATTTCATCAACACTGAACTTATTTTTATGCTTCTCTTTTATAGGCCAACATTCTGTGCCATAAACCATCGCGGTTCTCACCTACATATTATAAAATTTTTGTTTAAGTCTAAGTTGTACTTATCTATTACATAATACGTCTCATGTATCCATCCACTTCAACCATCCAACTTTAATTCTACTAATAGCATCCCCATCTATATCCCCATCACTTTGAACAGTAGACCCGAGATATATGAAACATTCACTTCTTTTAATATTTTGATCACCCATTGTTACAACTTTGTCACTAGATCTACTATTACTAAAATTACATTCCATATATTCAGTATTGGATCTACTTAAATGAAAGCCTTTAATCTTTAAGGTTGACATTCATATTTCAAGTTTTTTGTACTCTCTCTAGTCTTATCCACATGAAGGATGTCATCTGCAAAAAGCGTACACCATGGTTCATCCTCCTGTAAATGTCAAGTAAGAGCATCCATAACTAAAACAAAAAGATAAGGGCTTAAAGCCAATCCCTGATGTAATCACACGTGGGTCAATCCTCTGTGTTCGAACAAAAGTAACAACTTTAGTATACATTTCTTGAATGACTCGATATATGCAATATTTTTTTCTAGAACTCTCCACAGTAATTCTCTTCGAACTTTATCATAAGCTTATTTTCTAAATCAACAAAAATTATATGTTGATCCTTGTTTTTCCCTTTATAGTTTTCTATCAAACCTCTCCATAAATGTATAGCTTTCATGGTATATTTGCCCAGAATGAATTCAAACGGGTTTTGAGAAATTTTCGTATCACGTCGTAACCCATGTTCAGTTCCTCTCTCTCATAATTTTAGTGTATGACAAATTAACTTAATTCCTTTAAAATTTGCACACTTTTGTGCAACCCCTTATTCTTAAAAATAGGAACCCATAACTCTTCTCCACTCATTAGACATAAGTATAAAAAAGTATTAAAGGAAAAAAGTTGTGCATATTTGTTGTTGCTTCATCGTCTCCTCAAAGTTGACGCCATTTTGCATGCTTAACATAAATGACAGAGGAGACCACAACACCAAACACAACTGCTTTTGTACATTGCTCTGATATATTGGGGAAATTCAAATACAGTACTTTTGTATACATTTTTTGTATATGAGCTGAAGGAATATGCTCAGTTTTCTTAGAATGATGGGTTTAAAGATACCCCGATCAAAGTTTGTTAAGCATTTACTTTGCACACTTTCTTAAGTGTAACGGGCAGACCTAGTCCTCTTAAATATTTTCTATTCAGGGGAGATACCGGGTATTATTGAAATTTATATTGATGGGACTCAAATAGAACAAAATAAAATGGACTTTATGGATGCAAACCCAACTTAAAATACATGTAAAAATGAGGATGAGATTGCGGCGATGAACTCTCAAAATGCAGTATCAATTGCATCAAATATGTTGAAAATGACTCTCTGATGGACACTTGGACTATGCTACATTGGCTTTGAAATAACTCGTAAGGACTTGGGCTTAATTGAGCATTCTTAGAGGTGCCACAATAGAACATCTATGAGCTGGAGTACGATTTGGACTCTAAAGGTAAGTGCATTTAGTAGGATCAGTGTTTAATGGTAAGTGCATTTAGTAGGATCAGTGTTTAATAACCTGTATACATGCATGGGAAAGACTTTCTAACCTAGCATTCAATATTGAACAAGCTATTGGTTAAATGCAAATAAATTGTCAATGGCTTAAGCATAATGAAAATTCTAATTTAGGAGCATTTGCAACGTGACCCACAACATAAATGCAATAGAGCAAAATGCAATATTTAAAGCTTAAAATTAATTATCCATGCATTCCAGTAACAAAATTTGCACAAACAAGCAGGCTTAGAGAACTCTATGTTTGGTATGTGCTTTGAAGGCAATTTTTCATTTAAATACAATGCTTTGAAAAACATGGAATAACATAAAAAAGTGTGCATCCCCTTTAAAACACACCATTTGTCTGCATGTGCTCTAATAAATGAGTTGAATGCCTAACTCTGAGATTAGAATACCGTATAAACTAAAAGCAAGATGAGCTTAGAATTTTCTTGCTGCGAGAAGTGGATGATAACTTTAGGCAGTGATAATAATAATTTTTTTGTTTCTGATCCACCTTTTTTAGTGCATAGTTATGGAATATGATAGCATAATGTTTTCTGTGATGATTAGAGCTTTCATACATTTGAATGCCTTCATTGATTTTTGGGATTTTATCTATTTAAAAACTTATTTACAAGGGTATTTTTTTTGCCAGCACACAGTCTATTGATGGGAATTTAAAGTGTATTTGGGATATTGTTTTTCATACATTTTTTTTTATTCTTCTACCAATCACAAATTACAAATGGACATTTAGCATTAAGATAAGTGTAGAACTTAATGATATTATCATCCATATACTCAGACTATATGCTGCATCTATAGGACATAAATGTCCAATGCTACCGACCATTTTCAAGCTTCAAATTTTCTCATTTTTTTTACTTAAAGTCGCTGCTTTTTAACTTAGGCCACTGCTTATAACTGATATTGATGATTTGTGTTGCAAGTAAAGATGATTTCCTTACTGTTCAGTCCCTCAAACCCTTGTTGGTACTGAAACTTTTATGATTCTATTACATGCTTTCTTTTGATCTAGTTTTGTTTTTCAAATCATAAGATTTGCAGAACTAGATTGTAATTTTCAAGATTGTAGATGCAATATAATTTTTTTTTAAGTGCATGAGTCGTGAAATATAATCCTTATTTTCATTCAGGGAAATTAATTTTGTCAACGAAACTGTGAGAACTATTGCAGGAGATGGAACCAAAGGTTCTGATTACAGTGGTGGAGGAAAAGGAGGATCTCAGGTAAGATGTCCCAAACAATCACTCATTCCACTATTCTGTAGTTTGCTTTCCTGCATGAAATAGGAGATCCGCCAAACCCCATGATCATCATTGCATGCATATTCTGCATCTAATTCAAATAACTTGATTTTGCTATCTCCTTATTAAGAATTACAATCTTGAATTTTCATTTGGTGTGCTATAAATGGCTTACTGAACGGTAGCTTCTCAGGTGCTTAATTCTCCATGGGATTTATGCTATGATGCTGTGAATGAGATAGTTTATATAGCAATGGCTGGACAGCATCAAATTTGGGAGCACAATATATCTGATGGAACTACTAGAGCTTTTAGTGGTGATGGTTTTGAGAGGAACTTAAATGGTTCAAGGTATTGTTTCTCAGCCATAAGCCACTTCAAGAATGAAATTGTTATGCCCCAATAATTTCTTTGATGGACTATGTGTTTTGTCTTTTAAATTTTTATAATCCAGTCTCTTTTGGTTATGAATGTTGTTACAAAACGGACTTCAGGCATTTTGATTTCTTTTTCATCAGATCTAGGTTTTTTATCTTTACTTGTCTCTTGATATTCACTCAACATTCTATTATGCTCTTTTGTTTGTTTATTTTTTGTTTGGATTTTATTTTCTTCTCTAAGTTTTGTGCTAGTCTTCTTAAAAGTGGGATATCAATTTTATATGTTGACTAGAAATTTGTTGAAGAACAGTTCACAAAGATTGTCCAATGTGCTGCAGATCAACATCCAAATATATCTTTTTGGGAATGGAGATTGTTCTTATTATGTAGGGGGATGTACTTGGAAATGTTTTTTTGGAAGTTTTCTGTATTTTTTTTCCTGATGTTTTCATGCTTACAAAAGATTCATCGTTAAATGGAAACTAAATCCTTATATAAAAAGGTTGTGTATGTAAGTATTGATGTTGAGCAAGAGCGCCATCATGAAATGGGTGTATTTGATAAACTAGCTGTAGAATCATTAGTTATTTCTCTCCAATCTCAACCCAACTTAGAAATGCTCTGTATTTTTGTATTATAGTACTTCATATGCCATTATAATGTTGGATTAATAGCTATTATTATAATCAAATTCTACTTATGAAATGTGATCTTTCGATCTACTTAAAAATTCAAAGCACATATCCTTAAGTTATTCTGTAACACTTGAATAATTATGTCTATTTGTGGATGGAATATTGTATTGAATTCTATTTAGTGCTAAACTTGATCACCCCTCCATATGAATACTTTCTATTACCAATATCTTTGTCAAATTTTCAACTAAATTAGCATGACAAATTGACACAACTTGTGATAATCTGTGAATTATTTACACTTGATCTCATATGGATATTGTTTCTAAATTTTAATAGAAAATATTACTTATTCCAACTCTAAATTATGTGTTGGTTGCTGCCAACTCTAATTATGTGGTTATTCAATTCACAGGGTTTCAATTGTTTGGAAGTATATTTATTAATCTTTCTATTATCCATTAAAATAGATCCCAAACTTTTTAAAGAATTATCACTGTAAATTGAAAGTTCTTTAGTTCTAAATGAAATTGTGAAAATTATCGTAGATGTCACATACCTTTTAAGCTTCTGAAAATTTTGCTCACATTCACCAATCTAATAAAATTTAGCAATTTTTTTTTTTGGCTAAACCTAGATCGAAGCAAAGCAAGTTATGAAAATTCTTTCAATAATCTCTTATAATATCCATGTAATCTTGAAATTTTTGAATCTCAGTTACACTAGTTAGTCATGGCTATTCTATCATTGCTATCATTTTTTTTTAAATCAACAGATATACATTCACCAGCGATGATGTGTTTTAATAACATAATAATTCAAAAATTCGTTTAAAAAAATTTGACAAACAATTTATGCTTCTTTTGTGAACACAAATTGTTCTTTAAAAGACTACCATGATCATCATCACTCTTATAGTAGATAAATATATTATCAATAAATATTATTATAATTTGCTTTGGATAAAACTTGAACTTTTTTTCATCATAATCATGAACACTGCTAAGGCATTTTGCTTTAGATAAAATTTGAACTTTCTTTTTTTAATCAGATTCATGAACACTGCTAAGACATTTGTTGGTCCAAATGCATCACAAGTAATTCTTAATGCCCATATCATGTTCCAATTAGTCTTTGCATTATTGCTGTCCTTCGCCCTAACTTGATGATACTCATATCTTAAATCAACTGTAGCTAAAGCTTATCCTAATTGGTTTAATTAATGAAAGAGGATACTTTGTATCCTTTTCAACACTCTATAATTTATTCATAATTTTATTTTATCATCATTCTTTGTGATAAATAAAACAGTTCTCTAGGAAGATGTATTTAGTCTAATGATTTTTTTTCAATCAATTCTAATAATCGACTATTTATCACTTGCAATTTTCTATGAGCCATCCTATAAGGTTTTTTGACAATTGGCATTGTATCATGCTAAACATTTATTGTAAACATAACCTCTCTTTTTGGTGGGAAACCATCAAGCTCCTCCGGCAAAACATCAATATATTCTTCACCACAAGAACACTTATATCACTAGCTACCTCTTTGACTGCTTTTAGTTTGGTAAAAAATTTTATTACACTAATTTTGTGCTTTTGTTCGCCTCCATAAACCTTATAAGAGAAAAATTTACCTCTTTGTCACATTTAAAATTTCTCGTCATTGGGCAAATCAAACTTTTCTATCTGTACTCAATGGAAACATTATATTTAACTTGCCAAGTTATATGCAAAGTTATATCTAACCCAGCAAGTGGTGTAAAATCAATTCAAACTTAAATGCTGTACCTGTTAATATAGTGTCAACAAGGAGCATAATATATAGTCCAAGCGGTAAATGAATTGGTTGTAGATATTGTTTAGCAGAGAACATTTTAGAAAATTAAGAATATGACTCTTCAGAAGCTCTTTAAGCAATATTTAAAATGCCAATCCTTTCACTTCTGAAATTCCTTGACTTCCTGAGATGTAAGAGAAAATACTTGTACGGATACTGCTTTCATATATGAACCAGGAACATTTTATACAATAAAGAATATGATTCTCCATAATCTAATAATGTCTTATTAGCAATATTTAAAATGCTAATAATGTCTTTCACAACTTAATATTCCTTGACTTCCTGAGATGTCAGAGCAAATACTTGTTTTGATATTGCTCTTATTTTCTAGTGACGATTCTTCTTTTTTCTTTTTTAATGATTTATCCATAGCAGGCCTTCTACATTGAGGCTGCTTTGGCCTCCGAATTCCCTATCTTCGCACCTTAATTCTTAACAATTCTTTTTTTCATATGTTTGCTCCCCATAAAGATGGCATTTCCTGAAGTTTATTCAGCATTTTCCTAAAGGTCGTTTTCTACATATGCATTAGTTGTAGTAGCATATTGGATTTCCTGCTGTTATTGTTACCCCTAAACATTTTTTTTTCTCGAATTGACCACCTGCTTATCAATTGTTCTTTTATTGCTGTTATTTTCTTATTTTTATCTCACTGTAGTCGTATCATGCTCTAATAGTCTTGAACTTTTCACTAACTCAACAGAATCCATGATGCGTAATAAAATTACTGGCTAATGCATTGATCTCTTGGCCTTCTAAAAAATTCATAGCATTTTTCTCTTGATGTACTAATCAGCTTTGGAATCTATATGTTGATAACAATATAAATTCAGCCACGTATTGTATTATTAACATTGCTTGTTAATTTAAATTTATAAACTATCTTGGTTTGCTTGTCTTGCAGAGGAAGGGAATCTAATCCTTGAACACTTGCTTACTCATTCCAAGTAATTTGCTCTTTAGATCTGCCTTAAACTTTACGAGGTGCTTGCTTTTTCAACAACACACTGCCTCTCATTTTATCACGAATAGATCCAATGATACCTGCCTAGTGGCAGGCATTTCTTACCATTCAGCTTTATTCTAATTAATCAATTCTCTTCAGTTCTAACACTCTCTTCCTTAAATACTGACAACTTCATGCTTTCAACTAACTTCTAGTTTTTAAAAATTTTCATGCTAATTCTATTACATGCATGGTACTTGGTACTAGCTTATATTGCAGACTATGAAGCACAGACACAGATACGGGAACACGGACTAGAGACAATGTGATACAGGGACACAACATAATTGAAAAAAATAGAACACGCATACCATAGACACATTTTTATATTTAATTAATTATTAATATAAAATATATATTTTTTCTTTATTAAAATTATCACCACAATATAAGTTATGTAAGAATAAAATTTAACTACATAAATTCAACATTTCAAGGGAAACACTAAGTCGAGCTTGTGTGAAGATCAGATTTTGATCAATCACTCTTTATTTTGATATAAGCTATAGAACGATGATCATGCATGTTAATGATAGAAGTTCTTGATATTATGCAAATAAACTGTGATATTTCTGAGAAGCTCTATAGTTAGTTGAATGAAAAATATTTTAATGCTTCTACACATTTTATTGGTCTTAATAATTATATTTCAGGTGGTTAGATTTTATATTGTATAATCTAATTGGGTAACATAATTGAATGACATTATCACTTTCTTTTGAGGGCTTTAAATCAAAAATGGTCTTGGCGATAAATTCAGCCAACCGTGCTGTGCCCATGTCTATTATGTTTATTATTGACAAACACACACACACACCCGTACATACATGCATGCATATATGCATACGTGCTTCTACATATTCACATACATGCTGCTACACATTCTAATTAAAGGTTATTCTGAAAATTTGATGGATAAGTTTATATGAATTTAATTCAAGCCAATCAATATTCTGCTTTTAGTTTAGTTACTCCTTTTGCTCTGGATGTTCTCATAACAAATTAATTCCTGGCCAGTTTTCTGTTGAGATAGTTTATGGTTGTCCTAGAATGATGAAGAGGTTCAGTTTTGTTAAAGTTCCTGGCTAGCTAATTTTCCCCTAATGATTTTACCTTTTTATGTCGATGCAGTTCTTCGAGCACATCCTTCGCACAACCTTCTGGGATATCACTTTCTCCTGGTATTATTTTCTATTTTCTTCATATGATAATATTAGTTTCAAGCGCAGCTTAAATAAAATTATCTACAGTAAGGTCTCAGGTACTTTATGTAGCTGATAGCGAGAGCAGTTCCATTCGAGCTGTTGACCTGAAAACAGGAGCAGCAAGCCTGTCAGCAGGAGGAGATCCAATATTTTCTGATAATTTATTCAGGGTATTGTATTTGAGTCAATTAGTTGCCTATGGAAAGAAAAAATTTATTGACTTACTCATTTTAATGCTGCAGCATTAATATCTACTGTGCACTATCACTAACATTTATGGTTGGTTTTATGAATAATCATGACTTTTGTGAAATCTACATTCATGCATCACGTTTTTGTGGTAGTTTGGCGATCTTGATGGAGTTGGTTCCGATGCACTTTTTCAACATCCTATGGGTCTCTTCTGCGGGTGTGATGGTCAAGTTTATATAGCGGATTCATATAATCACAAGGTATAAATTATTGTTGTATTTTCTTACGGTCATTAAACAATTTATGCCCAACATAAGTTGAACCTAAACTATGCTGTAATAAGTATTTATTATGCAATGCATATTTGTATGAATGAACCAACACCTAGGAGAATGCTGAAATCTCCTAATACACTCGACTCCATTCTACATTCTAGCTAGCAGTTTTCACATCCAAGTAGCAAAGATATTAAAAATCTTGACTTGTTTTGGCACGTCAAAAAAGCAACTATTGTTGTGATTTTTTATCCACCTTAGGTTATAAAATCATTTAATTTTAAGGATGTTGTAAAGTTGAGACATCATTTTCTTTGTTTAGTATTTCCAACGTAAATGTATGCAATGCAGCTCTAAGCTATGTGCAACATTTTTTATACAAAAAAAAAAAAAAAAAAAAAAAAAAAAAAAAAAAATTTTTTGGGAGGTTAAAAAACTATTTTTCGGGAATGTACTCTATTAATCTCAAGCAACTATCTACCTCTTGCTGTCCAAACATCTATCAGATAATATCTAATTCCGATAGTAGAATTTGGGCCACCCACTAAAAAATTAATATTTTTAAAATTAAAATCATAAACATAACCAATTGATTAAGATTCTGTGTAAAAAGAACCAAATTATGAAAAAATAAAAGAAATTCAATTCAATTTATCATAAGAAAAAACAAGAAAATAGGAAGAAATAGAGAGGGAGAGATGCAAAACATATGAAGGAAAGAGTTAGGCAAAAATTTCATTTGCCTCCAACCTTAGGAGTATGAATATCTAATTTACTAGGAATATAAGAAGAACAAATCAACAAATTTAAGAAGTTAACAAATAAGTCGTCTATAAAATTAGATGTTGTAAGCATGTAAATGCACACTTAACTGACTAATAAAACTCATAATTCAATATAGACGTGTTAATTTTAAAATTTAAAAAGTATATAATTTAACTTTCAAATTTCAAAATATGAAATAAGGATGCAATAAAAGCCTTTTGTTCTTCAATTAATTTATTAACTATTCTGAAGGACTATTCTATTGGTCAGTTGTAGCATCTACCAGCTTCCTTGCAGACTGTGTTCTTAAAGAATGAAAATAGTGGAGGATGTGGTTGAAATAAAGAGCAACAAACATGAGAGATTTTCTTAATGATGGTTAGTGTAACTAATAGTTTTTTTAAGAGAAATTGATGAGCAATGAAGTATTTTAGTCTTTTGTAGCTCACTATGCCTGGTGGTTAGGTGTTTTATTTCCAATAATAAGATATTGAGCTCAAGGTTTAGCTCATATGGTTGTGTGCCTGAGTTACAAAAAAAACAGAGGTTTTCCTTAATTTCCAGTCCTTTTTGAAAATTACTATATGCTATGCTAATCTTCTTCAGGAGACATAGGGGAAAGCAGAAGGTTGTGGGTTGCTTATTAGTAGAATGTAGAGTGAAATGTTAAAAAAAAGTCGATGGAACGTCAATTTTGAATAGAATATTTGGTCAGGACCTGCACTATTCGAAGCCTGTCTTGAAAAAAAACTACTTTTGCTTAACATATTGAAGCATCCTTTTATATTGATCAATTTTTGAATTACCAATCCCAAATAAATTTCTAGAAAGAATTCTGCTATAAACATTTAGCAAGTATTAATTAGTGACTTTGTTATTAAGTTACAGCGTTCATGGAATTCAGCAATGTTTTTGACTTTTCCTTTCGTTTTTAAGAATAGCATTCCGTTTGAATCGAAGGTAGGAACTTAAGTTAATTTATCATCAATTCTTTATCATTATAATTGATATGATCATGATAACCATGACTGTGATTCCATATCCTCACTAGTAAATAATTTGCATGCAGTGTGCGACAGCTTTCCTTACATGATATTTTGTATTTCTATGGCATTTGGGCTTCTGAAAATTGATGGCGATGGATACACAGATCTTGCATTTCAATTATGCTAAAATCTATTATCTATTTCTTCCATCTGAAATGCAATTTTTTTGTGATTATAAAACTTTGTACTCTCTTTTGGTTGACAGATAAAGAAGCTGGACCCATTAACTAAGAAAGTTGTAACATTAGCTGGGACAGGACATGCTGGGTTTAAGGATGGCCCTGGTCTGTCAGCCCAGGTAAGGACTGGATATGTTTTTATTATTATTATTATTTTATTTATTCATTCTAATAGGTGATTTTTTTAGATTATCCGTCTCAAGGGAACTCGAACATGGCTTGTTAATACTATGTGCTTGTATAACCGTTTGTCAAACCTTTTTCTGTGATTTTTTACATTCAATTAGTCTTTTCATTTTTTAATCATCTGAACATGATTTAGTATCGTTTTATGCTTTTAATGTAACTTCCTTGTGAACAGCTTGGAGAAATAAGCCCTTAGTTTTTGTTGTGTACAAGTATTTACATCAATTAAGGCTTGGTGAGAATATTTTTATGTTATTTTTGAATTTCCATGGTTTTGTTTTCACAAGGAGTGAATAGATATTAATACTTTTGTTGAAATGCTGTTCACTTTGCTTTGCACTGCAAACTTGCTTCATTTTTGAAGCTAAAAATGTGCAGAGAATACTTTTATCACATCTATTTGTTGCTTAATATGGGATCACATTTTCCATCAAAGTCAACATTAGTCTTATCAATTTATTTGGAGTCAGTTTCATAAATCCTCCATCAATTGTCTTAGCAAGCATTGACTAAGATGTTGACTCTTTTCTTACTAATACTTAGCATAAATTCTAGCCACAAGCTTTCTTTTTTACCGTCTAGGTATGCTGTTTTGTTTGCCCTCATTTGTACTTGTCAGTAATATTTAAGATTTTTTCCTTCATCTATCTTAAATAAGTGCTAATTATTTATTTTTATACCACTTATTTAACTTTAATATTTTTATTAATGCAACACTTAATCACCAATAACTTGTTTTTTGTCGAACACTCAAAATGTTATAATTAAAATGACATACATAAAGACCATTGCGAAATCTGAAAAGGTTGATGTATTAAGTTATTTTTCTATTAGAATTGTCTCCTAATGAAGCATATTCGCCTTCCTTTTGTTCTAGCTAAGTGAATAATATATGATGTTTTTGTTAATATTTTGGACATTCATTGTTCAACTGTCATCCCTCCCATTGGTCCCCATGGCGAAGCTATGCAAGAATTCACGTATAGAATTAATAGAATGAGTTTTAATCATTTGTGCATACGTGTCTCTAAAAATCCATGAATACTGGGGGATTTAAATTGCAGTTCAAACTTTTCAATGTTTAGATATGTGTTCCATTCTACTACCAAATATACATCTAGCATGCGTTTGTGCATCAGTCCTAAAATATGATGTTTTCCTAGTGTCAGATGATCCATGAATTGTATGAATATAAAATTCTGTTCAGTTAAACTACTCAAATACTTAACTTTGGTTCCAAATCCTCGTAGTTTATAATACGAAGAATCTTTATTATTTATAGGTTTTTTTTAGCATATTACAACTATATTCCAGGCTTAGTTTAACATAAATTTAAATAGGCATGTTTTTTTTTTCCAAATGTGATAATTTTTTTACAAAGTCATTAAAATTGCATCCATTTCAATTATTGTAACAAAAAGATCTTCATAAATGTCATCTTATTTTAACTCTAGATTGATCACCAATCACCATTAAGAACAAATTTTACTTTCTTTTGATTAGATGATTTTTTAATGCATTCTCATTAACTAAATCAGCATATATTGCTTTTGACGTCTTTTTATGCTTTTGGATTATTTTCCTTCCACTTTTACCCTATAAAAAAACTTTATTTGAAAGGTGCTTTTATTTTAAAAATGTTAGATTTTTTTCTTTCCAACTACAAATTTAGGGCCTCTTTGGGATCACTTCATGTTTTTTATTTTTGTTTTTGTTTTTAGTCTGATTTGTTTTTATTTTATTTTCTATTTTTTTTTTTTAGAAAATGTATTTGGTTTTGTTATAATATGTATGTTTTTAAAGATAAAAAGAATATAAAACAAATTTGACTGGGTATTTTTTATTTTTTTAAAGAAAAAACTTATACACTTTATAAAATTTTTGGGTCCATATGCGCTCCAGTATTATGCTATGCCGCCCATGGCTTATATGAAGTTTTCTTTGCTCCACCCAACACGAAGCATTATCTGTGAACGGTTGGGTGGGGCTGGCGGCTGCTGTAGACGAGGGCCGGAGTCGACGGCGGTGGGAGGCAACTAGCGGTCGGCGACATGAGGAGGAGATAGTTAGGCGGCGATTGCTGGCAACGTGGGGGTGGGCGTCGGGGGGCTAGGAAAAGGGATATTTTTAGTGTTTAACTACGAAAAAAAAACATGTTTATTCTATTTTTAGTATTTTAAATACATAAGCGTTCTCCCGAAAAATAAAAAATAGATAAGCAAACAGTGTTTTTATGTTTGTTCCTATTTTTTGTTTTCAAAAGATAAAAAAAAAACAAAAATTGATCCCAAACAACCCTTAGTTTTTTGTTTATTTTATAAAGTATGATTGTTTTCTTGCAATGTACATTTGAGCTTGCTTTCAAAGAAATTTTTCTTGAAAATACTTTTAGGTTGAAATATCATCTTGTTATCATCTCTATCACTCAATTCATGATACTTGGTGCTAAATTTTTTTGTCTTTTTCTCTTTTAAAGTGTTTTTTTATTGAAAATAATTTTAAGTTGACATATTTGAAATATCATCTTGTCATCATCACTATAACTCAATTCATGATACTTGGTGTTATGTTTTTTTTGTCTTTTTCTCGTTGTTCTATTCATCCTCCCTTGAAATGATTTTCTTGCTAATGTATCACTAAGAAGCCATTTGGATGATTACTATGAATGCCTTGCTTCAGAGATAGTTGCTTTGTTTTGATCCCTCTCTTATAGTAGTGAAAGATTTATTTGCCTTTTCTGATACCTATTTTTTGCACGGTGTTTATTGACGAGGAGATCACCCATTGCTAAAGCAGTTGGGGAGGCTGCACTGGTTCAAAAAGAGGGGATTAGGTGCCGACCGGCCCTTTTCTCATGGTTAGGGTTTAAGCCGAAGGGGAGGGACCCTTTTCAGTTATCTTTTATTATATATATGTTGTTTTCTCTGATTATGGTCCAATTTTTTGCTTCAATTTTCTATTGTTAGCGTCTTTTCCCTTGTTAGGGGCTACTGGTGGTTATCTCAACATATTTTCTTTTTACTCCCCTTGCTTCCTGCAGCCCTCTCTGTGCTTCTCTTATCTGTTGCCGCACCCACTCGACACCTTTCTAACTACTGCTACCCCTTTCTACACTCTCCTTGCTTGCTGCCACCACTTTCTCCATCACCCCCAGCCTATTGTAGCCATTCCTAGGTCCCCTCGCCACTGCTCAATCTGATATCCCGCGGTCAGATAGCCCTACAACCCCTACTTATGTATCCACAACACCTTCTCATCTCGCTCTAGCAAGGTATTTGTGTTTTTGCCGTGTTTTTCCTAATTTAAGAGTAACTAATTGTAATCTTATTTGCTTTTGCATAGTAATATTTGCTTCCCTTATTGGGTTATGGATTAACTTCGATATGATTTGGTATTAGAGCTAGCCGAACCTTAGTCCTATTCTAAGGTTTCTAGCATTCGTCATAACCCAAACTTACCGGCCCTGATGCCTCAAAATTCATTACCAGAGAAGGAAAGAAAGGAGGCGACGTATGTTGTACATTGAGATTTTAGAGTGAAGTGGATCTAGAGGAGTTTGAAGGAGGGAAGCATCCAGGTGATTTCACGTAATGGTTGCAGTCAGTTGAGAGAATTTTCGAGTACAAAGAAGTGCCAGAAGATAGGAGGGTAAAGATCGCGACCATCAAGTTAAAATCGAGCGCTTTTTATGGTGGGAAAAGTTGCAGAGGCAATGGAGAGAAGGAATTAACAAGATTACTAGATGAGAGAAGATGAGGAAGGAGATATAGAGGAAATACTTACCTACTCACTACCGTCAGGATATGTTTTTGAAGCTTTGTCATCTACAGTATAGAGATCTGTCAGTGGAGTTCACGACACAGTTTTATTAGTTTTAGATGAACTGTGAGTTGTTTGAGCAACCACTGCTACCTAACTTTCAAAACGTGATCTCTGACAAACTTCCAAAGGGGTTGTCCCCACTGAAGGATATTCAACATACCATTGATCTCATCCCTGGATTAATGTTGCCAAACAAGCTTGCCTACAGATTGATACCTGCAGAGTACGTGAAATTACAATGATATATACAAGATTTCATTTCGAGAGAATTGGTGAGAATGAGTACCAGCCTATGTGCTATCCTCGCCTTGATGCTGCCTAAGAAGGACAGATCATGGAAAATGTGCTTTGATAGTCGAGCTATGAAAAAAATTACTGTCAGATACAAGTTTCTTATACCTTGCTCAAATACAAGTTTCTTTTACCTTGCCTAGATGGCCTCTTTGATCGTTTGCATGGAGCTTTGTCTTTTCCAAGATCAACTTATGCAATGGATATCACCAGATCAGTATGAGATAGCAGACGAATAGAAGATTTTTTTTAAGACTCGGGATGGATTATACGAGTGAACAGTCATGTCTTTTGGGTTGTCCGATGTGCCCAACTTGTTCATGAGGTTGATGAATAAGTATACAGGTTTACATCAATATTTTTGTAGTGTTGTACTTTAATGATATTCTTACATACAATATGTCTAAGGAGGAGCACTTGTTGCATCTGTGAATGGTCTTTGGGGTTTTACAATCAGAGAACTATATGCTCACACATAAAAGTGTCACTTCTTGACAGCACATGTATGTTTCTTGAGCTATATTGTGTTTAGTGCAGACATTCAGATGGATCCTGTAAACATCAAGGTCATCATTTTATATGCGATTTATTAGGAGTTTCAACATCAGCAAGACTCCCCTAACAAAACTTTGGAAAAGGGTAAAGTTCCAATGGACTGATGTAACTCGATCCAGTTTATTGACTTACTGCAATTTGTTGAGCGATTGCAATCTCTTGAACGAATCTTCGAATATAAGAATGTGTCAGAGGATAAGCGAGTGAAATTTAATAATTATCAAGTTGAAAAGTGTTTTTTTTTTTAGGGGGGGGGGGATTTACA